GGGGTTGGTGGCGGCCACATGCAGAGTGGGAGAGAGGCAAGCAGAGTGGTGGCAGCACACGGTGGTGGGTGGCGGCAGCAGTGAGCTTTCCCCGTTGTGTGTGAGCTTCCCCTAAGCCCCCCGGGCATCCTGTCAGCCAGCCAGAAATTCCGGTTAATAGGGTGTTCTGGTTACTTAAATGCTGGCTAACACAGCTTTTACTGTATTTTCATTTTTATAGGACCTTTGTCTCATTCAGTACACAGTACAGATCTGTTCTATAAGTGAATCAAGTTTTGTAATGAGACATACTTATTTGTAGGAGACCTGTCTGATTTGTTGAAAGCATTGGAAGGTGTACAGCAAAGGACATAAGAGATTGTAGTGCATGAAGGCAAAATGTGGTCACAGATGCTTCTGCCCATTTTCCAGCTGGTGCAATCTATACATGGATTCATACATTTATATAGCTTTTCATAAAGTTCCCTAGATTTTGAAGTAACACTTGATTACCCCATGAAAAGAAAAATAAAGGGAATACTACCAGAATTATTGCAGAACATTTACACAGTGGATGAGCATGAAATGTAAATGAGCACAATTTTGTCTTTCAGACTTTAAAAAAAAATCTGTATAAATGATTGGTGACCGAGAGAAAAGCATTCAGTCTTACTTACCCCCTAATCTTGTTCTTATGTATATTCATTCCACTAATAACACAGCAGAAGTACAACTTCGCTCATGGTTCCTTTGCCAAATATAGTTCTAGGATATGGATTTTTCTCGAATTGCATTGGTAAACATGTCACCACAGTGAAATTTGATTGGAGGTGTATATTTTTGATAAAAGGACAATCTGGCAGGTGCAGAATGGCCTAGGCCATATTTTTTTAAACAACCTCAAATATATTAAATAACAAAGAACCACATTTTTAAGGTCCTAGATCCTGCCTTTAATTTTGGCCTTGCAATCAAATGTACTCACAAATTATGCCACCTCAGATTTGGCCAAACTGCTGTGCTAGAGCTACATTTCTATCAGCTAGCTACAGTGTTAGTAGCCGTTTAGTTGTGGCAGCACAGAGATCAGCACAGGGTTATTTATGCACAGTGCCAGAACTGCAGATATATCCTTAGTACTGAGAAATCATGTAGTTAAGCAGGAATCCTGGTCTCTTCTGATAAAAAAATCTCCAATTTTGGGGGTAAAAAGGTATTCCAAAATTCACATTTTTCCATGATTAAAATGAAACACCACTAACATAGATCTAGATACAGATACAGATATAAATATATAGTGGTGTTTCATTTTGATCACCAAAAAATGTATATTTTGGGTTACTTCTTTTAATCAAAAAATTGGGATTTTTTTTTTAATCAGAGAAAACCATGATCCCTGGTAATTAGATGTCTAACTGCATGCCCAGTTAGCTGCATTTTCAACTGCAAATTTTGACTGCAATATTGGTGGCAGATTTTAAAAATATGGTCCCAAGGATTTATTAACAGTTCCTTACTATACTTTAATTTGTTGACAGCCTTAATTTATTGGCCTTCAAAGCCCTTCAAAGCTTTTGGCTCCTTGGATAGTTTTCAGAATAGGAAACTAGGTTTACCTAAATTCTAATCTTGGTTCTGCCACTAATCATTTGGGCCTAATTTCCCTTATGACAACACTGGTATTAATCAAGAAGTCAAATGAATTCAGTAGGTGTGTCTACATATGCAATTAATGTACCTGAATGTTACTGCACAGTAAATTCAGGCCCATTTAGCTTTGTCTGGGAATGTGTCTACATGTGTGCCCTGTCAGGCACAGATTTCCATCTAACAGGAGCAGTCAGGTCCAGGGAGGCTCCTGCTCTGCTCTGCCTCTCTGCAGCAAACAGGGGCAGCTGCAGGCTCTAGCCACAGCTGCCCTGGTGCTAGGGGCGCTCTTTAAAGGGCTGCCCCATTCATTGTTCCCTGGCCACATGGTTCTGTGGCCCAGAGCAGTCTGAAGCCTACTGGCACAGCCCTACAAGACACTGTCCCCAGAGCCTGTGCCCAGCATACCATGGCTGCTCCTTGCCCAGGCCCCTGTAGTGATGACCAGTATTGCAGGCTTCTGCTTGCTGCTGCACTTGCCATGCTCCACAGCCATCCTGACCACCACATGGCCTTGGTGGACCACAACCCCATCTACCCCACCCTGCTGCACAACCAGGCCATCAGCTACCAGCCCCTGGGCTGCCTTCTGGACCCCAGAAGAGATGCCAACAACACTGACATGGATGCCTCCATGGCTGCCATCCACAAGCTCCTGGGGCTCTGACCCTGCTACATCTGGGCCCATGCCAGCAGCTGAGACTGGTGGCACTGCATGTCCAGTGCACCGCAAAGATGACCACTGGCTGGACTCAATCTGGATGACCCAGCCCACATTCTAGGAGCCCATGCAGCAGCTTAGCCTGCATCTGGAGAATCATCCTACCACCACGTGCCTCTCACAAAAAAGAATTCTTCACCAAATTCTTTAAACATTTAAAAGTCAGTGTTTTCCAACAAAAAGAATTTGGTTTCCAGATTTCTTACCACTTGTCTTTATAAACAATAAAAAAGGCATGTCATGGCTGCTTGGTTTTTTGCTGAAAGACTAGGCTGTGGACTCTACTGACTATTTGTACTAGTCTTGAAGAACTAGAACTGACATCCCATTATGTGAAACCTGAGCCACTGCTTTCTTATCATTCAGTCATGAGAAGGAAGAGACTGAATCAGTCCCCTGAAAATTTTGTTTTAATTAAAACTCTTCTTTAACTCCTAACATTAAACAAATGGGAGACAACCTGTCTTTGAAAACCTAAACCTCCTTTAAATAAAAAGTCCAGAAGTTGGAATACAAGAACAATAGCTGTCTACCCAAGCCTCCAGCTTAGAATTCGCATACATTTTTCATTGGAGGCAAGGCTTTCTTAGGGTGATATCTATTATTGGACCAACTGCACAGAGGGGATAGAGTTAGAGCCTTTGAATAAAAGACATTCTTCTTTAGGTCTGATGCTTTTTTAAAGCTTTCAACAGGTAATATGTAGAACTAACTGTGATCTGTTTTCTTGAGGTAGCCCCTCTCATTTTTTGTTTTCACTTGGTTTTAGTATTTTTACTCCCAAAACCTCTCTCAAGTAATAAGCAAAATGTTCAGACATTTTTGTCCACTGACTACTAAATTATTTTGAGTGGAAACATTGTATATATTATTCAGTTTGCAGAGTGACACAGACACTTAATACAGAATACCACAAATGTGTGAATTTCTGTTCAAATTTTAAATCAATTATTTAGCTTTATCTTTTAAAAAAAATAAATGCTGCATTTAGGCTAGCTAGAAGGAGAGAGAGAGAAAGAGAAAGAGAGAAAGTGAGAGGGAGAAAGATGAGAGATTCTGTTCTGTAAAAATGTATAAAAATGCTGTAAGCACTTAGTAGAATGACACCAGGAAGACACATGATAAATTTTGTCCATTTTATAGAGAGGTTGTACCAGCCATATGGTAGAAAGGGTCGTAGGTTTTATGTCATTGCTTGGCACAGATTGCTGTTTACTTTGATATGCAGAAACCTATTTTACAGGTTGAAGTTTCAAATATGTCTGTATTCCAATGACAAAGCATACTGAGTATATAAGAACACCACCAAGGTACTAGTCATAATGATATTATGGAGTTATGTGCTGGTTGACCTAATTGGCAGTAAGTGCAGCTTCACTGGTTTGTGTCAGAGAGGTAGGAACTCCATGAATCTAATAAAAGGTCCCTCTATGACTATCTGCATGGTGTTGGGCAAGTCATTCAAACTAAAAAATTTCCCAGGCATCTTCAAAAAGTTGGTTTAAACTTCCCTATGTCCCAGTTTTGTTTTCTGCTGAGTGGGGATACCAAGGTTTAGCTGATATTAGAACAGTACTTTGAAAATATAAGGTACTATATAACTGTGAATTGCTATTAAGATAACAAAGGATACAGGATAATACTGTCTGGAAAATATTTATTACTATTACTATTTACTGTACTGCAGTCGTACCTAGTATCAGTCTCTTCTACGCTGGGCCCTACACAAATATATACAAAATGCATTTTATATATGTATTTTAAGCCCTGTTGCAAAGAGCTTAAAATCTAAATATAAAATGAGAACAAGAAAATTCAAGAAAAAAATAGGAAAAAATGAGACAATACTTGTCAGTATGATGATTTTTACATTTTAAGGTACTGTGAAAAGTTGATAAGAAGAATAGACTTTATACTGAACATAATACTACATTTAATTGCATACCATAGATACCCTTTCCCTCAAAATTAGCCTTCTAAAGTGGTGAGTATGTATTTCAAGCAGGGAAGCTCATTTTCTGCCTAGAATAGATGTACCCCACTTTAATCCTTGCTTCACCCAAAGCTTAAAATCAACTGAAGCAGCAATGGCATTTCCGTTCTGGCAACTGAGAATCAATCGCCTTAAAAGCTCATGTTCTTCATTCCACAAGTGTTAACAACGGTCTCTCCTTCCTAATGGTCTTGATGTTCTACTAATCAAGCTAACCTTTCTTCCAGGAATCTTGCTGTCTGTTAACTACATTTGGTCTTATAGCTTAACCTATTGGCTGAGCAGGAAAGGTAAGGTAAGCAAGCTGAAGAGTCAGCTCTGTCCATGCTCTATGCAGCCAAAACTCTGAAAAAAATCTTTTCTTCATTCTTCCTTCCCAGAAGCAAGGTGCATGTCTTATTTGGGGCATGTAAGGTGTTTCTTTGCTAGGAAGTTAGTTTTTATACAGTCTGCACTTGCATTAGAGCATGGAATTGACATATTTTTAAATATATAATATATCAGTATTGAATTCAAATTACATTTCTGACAAAGTAACACTCAAACCTAAACGTAAACTGACATTACCTTAAGAGACTCTTTGCAGTGCTGAAAGAACTGCTTTAACCCCTCCTCAGTAATCCTCCAGGTTTCATCATGGCAATGGTACAGAGAAAAACACTGTGGATGATGGAGCCCAAGTCTGATCAGCCACTCATCATTTAAACAATGGCAGTCTACAATATGAATCTGCCCCCCTGCAAAAGAAAGCAAAATTACCAAAAGAGTCAAACACATTGAAATGAAAAGTAGGACTGGAAGGAACCTCAAAAGGATAAACCTATTGTTTTATTGTTTTAAAAAAGTATAGGGTATACTGGTTTCTCTATGAATCTCATTTGAAAAAAAGCATTCCAGGATAGCATTTTTTCATTAATAAAGTCAGTAAAGTTCATCTTTCAAAAAACAACTTAGTCTGACCTGAAAATATATCTTAAATTTCTACACTGAATAATTATTAAGCCAATGTTCTTCTAGCAGAATGCATAAAATCACTTAAGTGTTACCATGACTTGCTGAGCTTTATTCCCTAGTATGAGATGTGAATTAGTTTACATAAGATAACACCGAGGGTGTAGACAAAAATGACAGTTTTCACCTGATCTGGCCACAGAAAGCGATCTACAGCCACAACCAAACACAAGTGCACAGCTGCAGACCACTTAAAAATGGCCAATCAGGCAAAAATCTTAACCCTCATTTCATGAGAGGTCAGATGAAGATGTTTCAAAACAAAGCATCTTCTGTAACCTGCCTCCCAACCTGTTGCTATTTTCAGAATGGCAGGGGGGAAAGGGAGCAGAGGGTGTTTAGTTTGGAAGGTTTTCAACCCCTGCATGACCCCCATGTTGGGAGGCCTCCAATACACCTGCCCTACCCTCCAGCATCTGCTGGGAAACCCCTAGAATGAGCTCCCTCTCCTCCCTTTTCCCCCTCCCATTCTGAAACAGGAACAAGCTGGGAGAGAGGACGGGCTATTGCTAAGGAAAACTGGCTGCAGGCTTGCAGCCAGCAGCTAGATTTCCCTGCCCCTGGAACCAACAGTGAACTTGTGTTTGGTTTGGGGGATCATTGTAACTCAGGACACTTCCTGCAAAGCATTTTCAGCTACAGCAGGGAGCTACACTTCTGTCTGTACCCTGACAGCCACATAGCCAAGAGCTTCAAGAAAGCAAGGAGTTAAGTGTTATTTCACTTACAATATCAATATAATCGGATTTTACTATAAAAATAGAGAGCCAAATTCTGAAATAACCGGGTAATTTGCCGACGTAAAGTTTAAATGGTAGATCTATGGCAGTTCGTAACAGCCCAACACAAGCTAACTCCTTTGTGTACCTCATTATGATGGATAAAGATGAATTATTCCCTGCAATGGAAGCTGGGGGTTACATAGCTATCACAACTGGATTATATTCATTATTTGTAGACAAAAGACAGTCCCAACCAATAATTATCAAAAGGACTAAATTCCCCAAAGCTGAAAATTAACAAAAATGATTAGGAGGAAACATTTAGACGATAACAAATGAAAGAAAACCTGGCTTTCTACAAGAATTCATTAAGTTTAAAAAAAACCAGAATTCCACATTTGGCTTTCAATAAAAGTCCATCTTACTGCTGTGGTGCAGTGAAGGAATCAGTTTTAAGTAAAAAAGCAACATATATGACAAAAGAAGATAGAAATAGGAATAAACTATAAATTTCAAAGTGCAGGAAATGAGCAAGGGAAACTAAAGACATTTAAACTAAATCCATGGTTCAGAGACAAAGGAAAATAATGAGGAATTTTTTTAAGTATATTATAAACAAGAGAAATAAAACCAATGATACAGCCAGTTCTATACGGAAACGTTAAAAGGCATACATTTTCCATGGAATGCTTGCCATACAGTGCAGGAAAGCAGCCTGGAAAGAATTACTCTGAATTTAGGGGGAAGAGCAACTCAACATGAGCTCCCAGTGCTATGATGTGGCCAACAGAATTAATGAAATCTTTGCATGTATAAAAAAAGGGAGCCATGGGTAGCAGCAAGGATGTGATTTTATGATAGCAGTATGTGGCACTGATTAATACAATACAGCCACATTTTCAAAATGGTTGTTGAAAAACAGAAGAGGGTCCAAAAAAAGAAACACAGAAATATTCAAGGGCTGGAGAAAAAGCCTAATAAAGAAACACTCAAAGATCTCCAACTGTTTAGCTCATAAAAAAGACTCAGAGTCACTTGATTACAGTACATAAATGCCATCAGAGAGAGAAATTGCCACTTACTAAAGGGGTCTTTAATGTAGCAGAGAAAAGCACAAACAAAAATTAATAGCTGGGAGCTAAAGCCAGACAAATTCAAATTAGAAAGCAGGCACAAATTTTCAAGTGAGTATGATTAGCCACGGAAAATCTGTTAAGGGGAGCTGCTGATGCTCCATCTCCTGATGCCTTCAAATTAAGTCAGAGGTTTAGACAAAGGAGTTGGGCACCAAGCTGGGGTGCTTCTGCACTACTTAGAAGCCTGAGTTTAGGTTCCAAATTAGGTTCTTCAGTTTAGGTTCCTTTTACAATCTAAAACATAGGCACCAGATGAATCTAGATACCTACAGTGTTCTGCAGCCGCTGCAGTGGGATATCCTAGATCGTTTTTTGTGCCTTTAGGTGCCTAAATTCTGCTTAAGTCCCATCTAGGCTCCCAGTTTACCCATCTTATTCTGTCCTTTTTCATTAGAATGTAAAATCAACTACATGATTCAGGTTCATCTTCGCTGCATTTACAAAGAATAGATACTAAGATTTCTTTCCCTAAACAGAGCAGAAAGTTTCCTTACTGATAGTTTCCAAGGGCCCCTCAACATGTGCACAGAAATGTGCGATGAGATCTAATGCACGATCAAATCAATCACACCTCCTGCTATACCACATGTTCATGACAGGAGGTGCAACTGTGTGGATCGTGCTTTAGATCCCAATGCCTTATTGCCAGTGCAGGAGGAGCCTGATCCCAGGCTCCCCCTGCACCAGGAAGAAGCAACCTCCCCCAGATGGGAGCCCAGGTTAGCTGACTGGGCCCCCAGCCATGGGGGCCCACCATGCACTCTCACAGCTGGAAGCTGCATCAGCTGACCCAGGCTCCCAGCTGCGGGAGCACCCAGGGGTCCCCATGGCAGTTGCTGTAATCTCCCAGCCATAGGTAGGGCTTTACACACACCTGCAGCTGTTGCTATCTCCCAGCCACAGGGATGCATGAGGCAAACATTCATTAATGGCATGATAGGAAACAGCTACAAAGTTACTATACATATTTTGTGGAATAACTTTGTATCTTCTTTTTATCCGCCATTAATTGATTGAACATGTGGCTGGGTGACCACTTAAGCTGTGATTAACTGGTTAATCATGCCTTAATTGTAACATGTGGATGAGGCCCAAGCGTAGGCAGAGGAAGGAGTGAGGCTAACAGAGCTTAGCCCCCCACAAACTCGGGACAGCAGTAGGGCCACAAGGCAGCCTGGCCACAGGCTTTCGGCAACTGCAGCAGTGGTGGGCAGGGAGAGGAAGCGGGACTGGGCTGGGGCAAGCGCTGCACAGCTGGCAGGGTGCAGAACTGAGCTTTGAGTGACTTGTGCACGAGGTGAAACTCCTGCTGCTATGTGTACCCCGGGAGGCACGGTGGGCATGTGCCCCTGGATCTGCAAGGGGTGGAGTGGCTGCCACTGTGGGCTGGGGCCAGGGCTGCACTGGGCTCTTCCCTGTGTTGGAGGGAGAGGGCTGAGCCAGGCTGTGCTTGGGGCAGGCAACAGCGCTGGAAGGGAGGTATAGGGGGGACTGCAGCCACCCCAAAATTCACCGTAGTCACTGCTCCCAGAACTGCCGCTACCCACCCCAAGTGCAGAAGAGACCAGTGCAGCCCCAACCCCAGTCCACATCGGCTGCCCACCCTGCCCCATGCACATATCTGGTGGACATGCCCCCTAAGGCTCCCAGAGTGCGCACAGCAGCAGGGCTGCCACCCGCTCCCCGTGCCAGGTGCCACCTGGACAACCTGCTCACAACTCTATCCTATGCCCCACCCCAGCTGTGCAGTGCCTGCCCCAAGCCCTACCCCAGCCCCAGCCCCGCTCCCTCCTTTACTGCTCAGGCTT